GTAGGTAGGCGTAGGTATAATTTTCTAATTATAATAATAATACTTAATTTATTCTGGGACGAGTCCTTTTAGAATAATACAGAAAGACATAAATGTGGGCTCAGGAGCCTTAGAGATACATTAATAAAAATACAGAGTAATTAAACAGTCATAGTAAAAAAATGAAAAATTATAAGTTACTTTCTAATTTTAATCTGTTAATAATAAAAAAAAAAAGAAAGGATGAATTATACTGACATTCAATGATTATTTTTTATCACTCTATTGTTATCCCTTTAGAATATAGTTATGTTTTAATAGTTATTAGTAATATTAAGGACTATTGAGACAGGGGAAAAAAATAGAAAATTATTTTTATTACCACACTGATCTGGTAATAAACAAATATATACAAATAAACTGATGACTTTATATTCCGGAGAAAAAAACAATCAGATTCGAACTTTTTCATGAAACAAGAATTTTCATATGTAGAAAGTAATAATAATAAGCACACAATTCATAAATACTTTAACACTTTTTAGAGGAAAAATTCTCTTTTATTGTTTTCACCATTGACTTTTGTTGGAGGATAGTGCATCTACACGAATGCGTTTAAGTGCGTCTCTAGTATAGATAACTACATTAAGATGTATATCGTTCAGTAATTATAGCTAGTAAATATTTTAAAAAGTGGAGAAAAGCCAGAGTTTTTTTTTCCTCCTCTTCCTCGCCTTTTAGGCTATATGTGGGTTTTCCCGCGCCAGGGAGTAAGGATGGGGGATCAATGTTAGAATCAAAATCCCTCGGGTACCGGGACGCGAACTCTTAAAATTATAAACATAAATGTTGGAAATATTGGAAAAAAAATCTAACACATGCTGATTTTTTAAGGATGGCATAAACCACACATTTTCTGAGTTTGGATTTCTGTAATCCTGTTTAGTTTTTTTGGAGCTGACTCTTAACTTATTTCTGTCACTTGCTTCCTGTAAACTGTATGCCAGTATGATATGTTCTTCGTCGTATTGTCGTAATATCAGGTTTAGCGTGATAGTTGACTTGGTGCCGTCGCGTGGATGGTTGTTTTACGTTAATCACCATGTGTTTATGTCTATCAGTGAATGGACAAACCTTATCTTAAATAATCAACTACAATGGTGATTGAGTGGGAATTTATTTTGCATATATTGTTGTTTCTCTTTGTATGGTTGAATTGATTCTATCTTTCTTTTTTTTATGTTATCAAATTCTTAGGGGAAGAATGAAAACTTTTTCTTTTTTTTTGCATTTATTATAAAAAATTTTAATGTATTATTGAGTTTTTAAAAATTATTTTATGTTAAATAATTAATTAAAATTAAGTTTTTAGATTTTTTTTTTCATGAATGTTTATTGGTCATAGAGGAACTAATTTAGTTAGATGTCTATCTGTAATCAAACTTATATGACAGGCATATAACCTATTAGCATTAATCCGTTTTTAATGTAATTTTCATATGTTTCACGTGGTCCCATATCGATTTCATCATATTCTTACATCGAATATTTACGAAGGCGTGAATATCCCTTCTCAGACACGCGTTTCTGAAATAAACGGTTCTTTCCATTTGGCTTAATGTTGGTAGACAGTCAACATATCGTAAATGAGGTTAAATTTATACCTTAATTTAAGAGGTTATAAGTTCGCTAACTTCGTTTAAGGTTGGACATTACTAGGATTCTTGGTTAAAATGAAATTATTCGTGCTTTTGACTCTCCTTTAAGACTGAATGTATTTCTTATTTATCAAAAAATCTTGTAAATTCACTTATACCTTTTTCATTTTCATTTTTACTCTTTTTATCTACTGGAAACTTTTAAAACCCAATGCTACAATTCCTACCTCTCCTCATTATCCGCTAGTGATAACTCCCTCTGGAATGTAACCAAAAAAATCCTTAAATTCCAGTCCATTTCCCATCCACTTCGCCGTGATGATGGTTCCTGGGCTTCGTCAGATGCGAATAGAGCAGAGGAGTTTGCTAAACATTTATCCTACACATTCACCCCTCATCCCGAACTCCATCCCAGCCACACTGCTGAAGTTGAAGAATTCCTCTCTTCACCAATTCCTCTCTCTCTACCTCCAAAACCTGTTAACCCCTCTGAGGTCAAATTCCTTATAAACAAATTAAAACCCCGAAAATCCCCTGGAAATGATCTCCTCACTTCACAAATCCTCAGACAACTTCCCAAGAAAGCAATCATATTCCTTACCTATCTATACAACTGCATCCTTCGCACAACCAACTTTCCTTTGGTGTGGAAACATTCCATAATCATCCTGTTTCCAAAACCAGGTAAACCTGTTAATAACACATCATCCTATAGACCGATAAGCTTACTCCCGATCCTCTCAAAAATCTTTGAGAAAATCCTTCTCAAACGCATCCTACCCATAATCGAATCCCACAACATCCCTTCTCATCAGTTTGGATTCCGCTCAAGACATTCCACTGTCCAACAAGGCCTTCGTGTTGTGGACCATATATCCTCTGCACTTGAAAACAAGCATTATTGCACTGGTGCCTTTCTGGACGTAGCACAAGCTTTCGACCGGGTGTGGCACGATGGCTTGCTTTTCAAGCTCAAAACCCATTTACCCCAATCCTTATACCTAGTCCTCAAATCCTACCTCTCAAATCGTTCCTTTCAAGTCCGTTGTGACACCGCATTCTCCACTTACTATCCAGTTGAGGCTGGTGTTCCACAAGGCAGTGTCTTGGGCCCAGTTCTCTATATCCTCTTCACTTCCGATATCCCTTCAAATCCCGATACATTTCTAGCTACATTTGCTGATGATACTGCCATTCTATCTTCCCACTCAGATCCTCAAATAGCATCTCTAAACCTACAATCTCACCTCTCTTTGATTGAGCAGTGGTGCAACAACTGGCGCATCAAAATCAATGAATCAAAATGCAAACATATCACTTTTGCCCTGCGACGCAGATCCTGTCCGTCAATCCTTTTTAATTCAATTCCACTTCCCTACTCAGACACAGTCCGTTACCTTGGCTTCCTTCTTGACAAAAGACTAACTTGGAACCCACATACCAGACTTAAAAGACAAGAACTTAACCGACGATATGGCCAGCTGTATAGATTACTAAGTAGGACATCCCATCTTTCGATTGAAAATAAACTTTTAATCTACAAGACCATACTGAAACCTATCTGGACCTACGGACTTGAACTGTGGGGAACTGCTAAACATTCGAATATCAAACGCATCCAATCCTTCCAGTCCAAAGTACTTAGAACAATAGTCAATGCCCCATATTATGTCACAAACAAGACCCTACACCATGACCTTAACATCCCATTTGTCCTCGACATCATCCCAACCAGATTCTCAAACTTTCACCAAAACCTTATCCATCATCCAAATCCTCTAGCTCAATCCCTATCCAGCTCCCTTCATCCCTACAATCCTCCACGAAGGTTAAAACGGCAGTGGCCCAGAGATCTCTTGTAAATAAGCTTCTGGAGTCCTGGCAATGGCCAGCTTCTCCACTCATGTCCCGAGCGTCTGTGGCTCTAGTGCCCTCTTTCAGTCTCCATTGGCTTCTAATACTAGTGATGCGGCTGGAAAAGTGGCACTGGGATCTCCTGGAGTCTTGCTTTGCCTTCCACATGTGGGGGAAAAAGCCTGGCTCGGAGATTCTTGGGCGAATGTATATATTGTATATAGGTATGATTGTGTTTATAAGTTTCTTTTTATGTTATTGTTTATTTATTTTTTTCTTTTATTTTCTTTCTTCATCAGTATTATTTATTTACTTTTTATATTTATATTTATTTCTCTATTATTTGTATATATTGTTTGAATGAGAACTCTTAGCCGTAATACTTATAGCCCTCCAGTGGCTGATTGTATTATTATTCAATTAATAGATAAAAAAAAAAAAAAACTCTTTTTATCTGTGAAAATGTTTTGAATGCATTCCGAAATATTTTATACAGAATCAGAAATTATGTAATTTTTTTTTATTGAACGTCCTTAAATGATGAATTACTTCTAACCAATAGAAATGGTGAGGGAGGTTTACTGACACTACTAGACAGACTTTTTAATAATGTTTGTTTGTGTAAATGAGTTACTATATCCACCATTTTTCAACTGTTACTATTATTGATGATCACGGGCGGATCTACTTTGGGATTGAAACCCCTCCCCCCAAAATGTTAAAATATAACCATGTTTTATAGAAAAAAATATTTAAAAATTATCTCTTAAAGTATTATTGTTGGTGTAATTACATTTAATATGACTTAAGAACCACTTATGCACCATTTTCTATAAGTAGTTAATTTATTTCTTTTTTTTTTCAAATTAATTATCGTTATATGTATATGAAAAAAAAATCTTTCGGGCTGAAGCCCCCCTTAATCCCAAAAATTAAATCCTGGATCATCTAGTGCTGATGTAAACAAGGACGTTAACGCTCGTAAATTATGAATATGAATACGAGGTTTAAATTCATTGATATCTTCTCTTCTTCCAGAATAAGAGTATTAATTATTTACATTCTCTATCTAATTAATTCTACTAATATTTATTATTCAATGAGATCTCTTTAACTCACTTTGAGCTGTAATAATAAATTACCTTTCTGTAACATAAAAGCAGTAGCATAAACACTTTAAATAACAGTTACTTTTAAATATTAAATAAAATTACAAATGGTGTTTGATGATCATCGCCTTATTTACTCTATCTCTCCTTATCCCAGATTTCAGGATAACGTTATTATGCAAGAAAACGTGATAAATATTCTTCAATCTTGTTTATTAATCAATTGACTTTCCTTTGCCTCTTCCTTTTTTTTTTTTTTTTTTTTTTTTCCATCCCATTCCTCTATTCGATCAGATACGATGAATCATCGCTTCGTCCGTATAATAAATCACTCCTGAGACATTCCGTCCTCTTGTAGAAGGACACGGAGACTAAACAATTTGAGAAGGAGAGCATAAATATGAAACGACAGATAGAATCTGAGCAGCCGGCCGCAGAGAGAAATCTAAGGTCAAGGCCGACGTACCCAACTTCCCTTTCAGAGCTCCTTTGGAGGTGTAGTCTCTGGAACCACTTCGTCCTTCCAGGTTTCCTTTTGGAAGGATCCAAGGGTAATTGGTTAAGCCAAGGGACTATGTGTCCGATATAGAGGGAAATAAGGAACATTCACTAAATTTTTACATTTCAAATTAGTTTTCAATGGTAAAATCTCTCATTCTTTTGTTTTATTCATATGTTTTAAAGCGAAAAGCCTTGTCTGACTTCGCAATAACACAAAAGATCTTAAATTCGTTAAGAGTGTTTTCTTATTAGTTAACTAAGGACAGAGATGTTTTGAAATTAAGAGGGAGACATCAGGGTAATTGCCTTAATCAGCAGTAACTTCTCATCACCTCTTTTTAACAATATACATTCGAAATAGTTCTGACTTTGAGAAAATCAACCCTTTGCACTCGGCACCGTTTTGGACGTTACCTACCAGCAACATTAGTCCTAAACTCTATTTATTTCATTATTCTGTAACTCTGTTATTTTTCAACAAATTTATTTTTTTCTTCTTTTCATAGCATTACTACTAAATACATTATATTATCCGTGCAATGAATTATCAGGAATAATATATAAAAATACAAAAATAATAACACTATGAAATTTACCTTACTATCTTTCTATGAAATTCAATAATTTTTTTCGAGCATAAGAAATTCTTATTTTAGCTTTTAAATCAATATATATACAAGATATTATAACTTATGTATATATATATATTTGATTAATTTCTAAAATATTTCATTCATCTGACAAACTAATTTCTCAAAAATTGACAGATTATTTTTATTTTTTATAAATTTCAGAAAGTGACAATGTTAAACATTCCGCGAGCAAAGTAATATTTTCATTTTTTATATTTGTACATGAAACAGGATTCCGGACTTCAATGTAAAATTCAGTATGGAATTATTATATCTTATTTTATTTATCGTAAGATTTATTTATCATGCACCACTAGAAAACAAGCATTTATTAAAAAATTGCTCTGGAATAAGTTCATTCTCCGTGATCGCTAACAAACTTTCATGTTCCCTCAGAGGGAACAGCCGAGTGCAAAGGGTTAATTATTATTATAAAATTATTTTGAACGGATGTGTAGTACTTATGTAGTCCACCTGAGAACCGAGATGGCAAGAATTTCACAAAGTAGTAACAATAAAACAAAATATTATTTTAATAAATTGAAATTCATTGAAAAGTAAATATGTTTCAAAATCCTTCATTAGACCACCAGTGAAAAATACTTATAAAATATCGGTACTTAACTGATAAGCATTTAAAGGTTTATAATCTAATATTCATTCACTAAATAAATTCGTCATTTAATTTTAACATTTTCGACATAGTATGATTTTGAGAATGTAATATAATATATTATATTACGATGAAGATAATATATTATAATTATGTAATGGTTTAAAAGCCTGCTCTACTCAGTCAAATAACTATGAGCTATTAATACTAATTCATTGCTGTTTTTGGAGTATCTTCAATTATTTTTTACTCCTTATTTCACTAAAAAAAATTAAATCAAATTCAAATTGATTTTAATAAAATGGCAAATATTGTTTCTTACCTAATTATAATTGTATCTTTAAAATAAAAACTCTTTATATTGAGATTTTTTTTTTTACTTAAATAGTAGCTCACTTAAATAATTATCTGTATTCGTCTGAGGATAATTATATTTTGAAAGTTTTCATCTTAAATAAGTAAACATGTAAATAAATAAAAAAAATTCATCTGTGGCCGATTCTGATAGTAAAAACATCTTCACTATTTATTTCAATTTTTGTTTCCAGAATATATTTCTTTATATATAAACAAATAAAAAATCATCAGATTAATGAAGTCCACACATCGATATATACAATTCAAGGAAATATTAAAGATTAACAACTAAACATTGAAGTAATCATAGGATTTATTGCTATCTGAAATACAATGCCATTTTTTTTTTTCATTGCCGTTGCTTTTCTTTACAAAATCACAGAAAGACACCGATTTATTCTATAAAAAAAAAAAAAAATATATATATATATACACACACACACACACATATATATATATATATATATATATATATATATATGTGTGTGTGTGTGTGTGTGTGTGTGTGTGTTTGTGTTTGTTAAAAAAATGCTAACTAGAAAAAATTTATTTTTATTTGAAACTCGAATAATCTCATTATTAGTAGTATGGAAGTTTTTTAAAGCCTTGCATACTCTTCCAGGAGAGTTTATTAGAGGTTTTATACAATTTGAAAGTAAAATGGGGCATATATTTTGTAAAAACAAATTACGTATTTTTACATATTTGGATGTATTTTAACTTTGAGAACTTATTTAACTTACTTAATTTATTTAGGTTTTATCTTACACAAAAATCATAACTAATATGATCCCAGACATGAGGCACCACATAAATCCGTTTATTTATATTTCGTTTTTTGGAGATAAAAATACGCTAAATTTATCTGTAGTTGAATTATTCTCTTGAATAAATATACCTTATATATCATATGAAAAATTAATTATTATTCTTCAGAATCCACTATACATATTTTTGTATATATACAGGATCCGTTATATATATACATACATACATATATATATATATATATATATATATATATATATATATATATATATATATATATTCCATTATCCAATATATCAATGTCACACTGTAATTTCAATATTATCACAGGTATAGTATTACAATATTTACGAAACTTCCTTATATTCTAGACCGAATATTTCGTAATGGATACCTCTTAATGAGATTTCCATATTAAAAGCATGCATTTAAATGAAAAGAAACACTGTTTGAAATGTAAATCAATGTAGAAAAATTATTTACAGTTGCTTCTCACCGAAGGCCGACACGAGCAGACTGAATGTTGACATAGATAAAGGTGTCGATTGCGTCAAATTGTTTATAAACAGATATGGAACATTTTTCCCAGCTTAACACGGCTGGAATCCGGGGGTCTGTTGTATATATTTTTAGTGAAGAACATCAATAAAAACGTAATTTTATGCGAGATAATTATTAAGATAATCTGGTTTAATTATAAATAGAAAGATATTAATTTACATTTGCTCGAAATAAATATATTAGTTTATTTAAACAGATCTATCTATTCCGAGTTTATCTACATATACTGGCAGCTATCAGCATTCTTATAAGTCAATTTTAAAAATAATACAGACTTATTTGTCGTTATAAATTGTCATCATTATTTTAGATCTATAATTCATAAAAAATGTCTTGTAATTTTTTATCTACTTATAACATATTTACATGAGATTAAATTAAAAGTACAATTTTATCATCCTTCGCATAATTGGCAACGTGGTCTATTACCAGTAATAACGCGTTAAAAACTTTTCAAATTTTCATATTATTTCTTATTTAGATAAAAAAACAAGTAATAAATACTTTTATAGGAATAATGGAAAGAAAGTAAATAAATGTTTGTTATATTTCAGATCAGTATCAGAATTATTTAGTTCAGGACTATTGAGATATTGTTTATAGTTTTTTTTTTTAATTTAGTTTAAATCTCTCATATTTTTTTTAAATAAACAAAAAGTTTTTAAATTCTATTCAATCATTTTACACATTCTTTTTATTTATTTTTTACCATATATTTTCTTTCGTTTTATATGTAATACTTTTATAATTTTCATCTTTAATGTATCTTTTCCTTCGTACCCCAAAGAATGTCCTGCGATGTGGATGGAAACATCGCTGTGTATTACTTTTTTTTTACTATTGACGATGTTACATAACTGTTTCTTCTATTCTTCTTCAAAAATAAGAATTGAGACAATATTGTTTTCGTTTTTTGTCAAATACATTTTCTTTCACCATTTTGTTTTTTGCATTAATATTCATTATGTCGGTTAATAAGCTCACAAACTTCGAAGCACTCGGTACTGTATGCGTGTTGGCTAGTGTTGCCCAAATGCGAGACCCAGACGAGTCTTGGTCTTGCAAACTCAGTTTCGTCATGGTCTTGGTCTTGCACAAGAGTCTCGCAACAGTCTTACAGTACTGTATTTTGTAGATAGGAGAAACCTAACTAAGCCTGAATGAAAAATTAGAGGAATTAAATGCAAAACTATATTGGTTATACCAATTATTTACATATAGTAACTAAGATTGTCGAGTATTAGTAACTATTTTGCCTTAATTTTTTATTAAAAACATCGATTTTTTTTACCAGTCCTGGTCTTGGTCTTGCAACAGTTAGGCGGCCTTGGTCTTGGTCTTGCAAAGTGCAAGACCAAGACCGATTTTGGGCAACACTAGTGTCGGCAAATCCTCAAAATCCGGAAGAATACGGAGCTCCTTCAAGATCCAAACAGACAAGGTCACTTCCATTATTATCTTCTAATTCAGTGATTCGTTCGTGCAGGCTAATTACTTTTAGATTACCTTACACCTTCAGAATTGTTAATTTATATTTCAGCAGTCTCAAAATACAATACCAACAATACCAAATCTGGTAAGTAAGTTCCCAACTACTAATCGTTACAAAAAGCTTGTTGTTCCTTTAGTTTTTTCGATACCTTAAAATGTATTTTTGAGAAAATAAGTTGCAAAAACAGATATTCGGACTTTAGTAGACTTTAGACTGCCAAAAAATGATATTTTCGTCTTTGTAAGCATTAAAAAAAAAAAAAAGGCCCTTGTTTGCCTATGGCTCAGATCATTGAACATTAGCGAAAGCAAAATAAGCCCTTCTTCTTTGATTTGATCGGCGTATATCAAGAAAAACATTCGTACCTTTGCATATTAATGAAATAGACAAGATCAATAACCAATTCAGAATCAGAGAAACTGTCCAAGAACTCTGATATTGCAAGAATAATAAAGATTGGTCGACTCCAGTGGGTCGGTCATATAGCTAGAATGACTCTTTGGAAGATCCTAGACAAATGTAATATTTGCTCCCAGAAGGACCCTGTTAGCGATGATGGATCGCGGCGACGATGCAAGATCTATCTCATGTATAACTAGATGACAACAGCAACTAAGAGAAATGTCTAAAGAACAAACTACAAGATTCTTATTCTCCAAGAATTCTAACATCCTTCCGCGATAGGAAGGAAATAAAAGTTATATAATAACTTCAATTTATTAATTACAAATCTGTATAACAGATCATATAGTCTTTGGTTTTTTTCAAAATGTTTACACTCATCTCACGGTAAACTTAACTTACCATAAAGATTTTAATTGCACCGAAATAAAATTAATTTAATTTCGGTTTTAATATTCGTTGTAATTCTTCAGCAAAATGCTGCAACTATCCTCACGAACAATTTTTATCATTCTGCCAAGTCTGTTTATGTTTAATGTTGCTCCAGTCATGGATTGTATGTTATGCGGTACGGTATACTTGAGGCGCCCTCCACAGATTAGAAAGACTTCATAAAACTTTACGATGTCCCCTAAACTTTTCAAATACGACATCTTGTATTGATTTTGATAAAGTTGCGTATGTATTATTGTTTTTGGTAAAAAGTAAATACTACTCTGATATCAAAACTTTTTAAAATCTTCACTCATATGCGCAAATATTTCGTATAACAAATAATCCGAGACTCTATTTATATAAGTATAGACTGCAGTTAATAAGTCTATTACATTTTTAAACATATTGTTTTGGATTTTTATTAGTTAAGATAGAAAACGGAAAATAAAATTTTATTTAAGGTGGCAGACGTTATTTATTTATTTTTTGGTTTTCCTTATTAGTTGTTCAGCGATATTAGAACAATCTCGGTTGTTCGAAACATAAATTATAATGTCAAATATTGTATCATCATCATGAAAAAAATTAAACAAAAATACTATAAACATTATCGAATACGTTTATTTAAAGTTTTGTTAAGTTATATCTTAACTTAAGCAATTTATTGAAACTACATTACTAATTGTATTTATTTAACAATAACATCAAGAAGTATTTTAAAACGTTAAAATGTTAAAATTTTAAAATGTATATATTGTATATAGGAATGACTGTGTTTTTAGGTTTTTAATTTACTTATCTTTAGGTTATTTTATTTTTTATTGTACATAGATACATACATTTTTTATTATATTTTTTGTATATATGGTGTGAATGTGCTCATATATCACTATAATTATTATCCACGTGACAGATTATTATATTTCTAAATAAATAAATTTTAAAAAATTAAATAAAATAAACTCTAAAATCGTCAGTTATAAAAGAACTTGAAGCAGTCATCGTTCACGCACAACTTCCTAGGTTATTCTTGTTTTCCACTACAATCAAGTGTACTCATTTTATAGAGACTGGGTGTGCCCGAAGTTCTTGTCTATCAATCTAAAATCTATCCATGGCTGATATATAAGAATAAATAAATTATTCACCAGGATTCGATAACACGGGACCCATAAAACTATCCTATTCACAATTTTTTTTTTTGAGAGAGAAATTAGAATGAATAAAGTCTTTGAACCCTTGAACTTGAACTCTTCCAAATGTGCAATGCACTTAATATTTATATATTTTAAAGAGTATGTAGTTATTATATTTTATCATGTTTTAACTGGCTCACGATTCCAACGTGAGATCCACGCGAGAGCCGCCGCCGACCGACTAGGCCACGCAAGAGAAGGCAACTGCTTAGTATTGGAGCCAGGTTATGGCCAAGGTCACTCCCGCCAAGAGGAAGCAAACAGGCCTCAGTCAATTATGGCTTTGTTCCTTGTCAGATATGCTCAGTGAGCACAGTTTGGGAGTGTTTGCTCAGCTTAATGAGCTTTGAAAAGTTTGTCAAGTCGACGCGACCAGTAAATTCAAAACAGGTCCAACTTTTGTTTTCTTAAAATCGATAGTTTTTGAACGATATTGGGTTCTTCCAACTGTCAATCCTATTACATATACTTTTGTATCCGTTTTTTTATTTATTTGTTCATAAGAATTGTTACTAAAATAAAAAAAACCTTTAAAATAATAACAAAACCACTATATATGTATTTCGACCATGGGCTACCAAATCGCTTCCTCCGTTCCTTCTGCTTTACTCAAGCAGTCATTTTCTCAACGGAACGCGAATATAAAGCAGCCATAACACAGTTATGAAAATTTTAGAAAGAGCATATTTTTATGGGGTTATGAGCCTTTGAGAGAGCACATATTTTGGGGATGTTTTTGACTGCGAAGAATTTTCTCCCAAGAAACAAGGCGAAAACTAAAACAACAATTTTTTGTAACTGTACCTTTAGTTACAACATTCTTATAAGAGGAGAACAACAAAATTTCTTGGAAGGAGCTGTAGTTACTTAGCCCTTAGGGAAGGAAGACCGTTGCCTTATTGAATCATTTTAAAAATTTATAAAAGAAGAAAAAGTATAGTGATATCAAATCCTTGCATATCATCGCAGCCATCGTTATGTAATGGATGCAAAAAACAACTTATATTTTCAATTAATTACTTTTAATAATTTATCAGAATTGTATTTCCAAAATAAAATCCTATAAACACTGTAGTCCGTAGTATATTTTTGTCAAATTATTAACATCCGCCTGAAACTTCGTGAATAGCTTCATCTCACCGTAACCTGATTGAAGCGTTTTCAATCTGGAAGGGGGCAAACTTTTTCTATTTAATTAGGTACTAAAAGCTCGTAAATACTCATTTGCTTTCCACTAAAATCGTAAGATAATTTGATCAAAAGTAGTGAAAATGTGGCCTATGAAAATGTTCCGTTTGGCGTGACCCACACTCATAACATTTCAGAAAAATGAGTTTATATAGGTCAAACGGCACAATATATTTGTTGGACATCTTTTTTCTCGATTTTTTGATCAATTTATCTTACGATCCAAGTGGAAAGCAATTAGATATTTACGAGTTATTAGTACCTGATGAAATAGACAAGATTTGCCGATCTCCAGATTGAAATCGGCCAAATTCCAAGAGTTTTCGTAAATAAAATAGTTGCAGGTTACGATAAGATAAAGCTATTCACGAAGTTTCAGGCGGATGTTAATAATTTGATAAAAACGGGTTTGTACCACGGATTACTAATCTAGAAACCAAGATAGTTAAAATGCCCATAGATGAATAAATTATTCGCAATGTGTAAGTTACAAATAAAATGTGAATTTATTGTACTGAGACCTGTGAAGTACAGCATGTATGAATTTATTAATATTGTCAAAATACTTGTAGTAATTGTAATTTATGATTAAGCGAAATAAAAAATGAGGATAACAGGTTGGTGAAGATGTTGCGATCGTAATGTTTGCGCAGACAATTAAAAACCTAAACGTAGCCATGATGTAATTCTCCGCTGAAGGTAATGTTCCTCCAGCGCCTCCCACCCCAGGGCTCTAACCTTGATCTTAGACCAGTCAAAAGCCCGGATGTGTTTTATCTTCTTCCATCCAGCGTTACTGTTCATCGTTTTAAGCAGAGCTTGAAACGGAAAAAAACTTTAATTTCATAAAAGTTTCGGTATCACCGCAATTTAAATTGTCTACAGTTTTTCAGTTCTTTTGGAACTAGAGCTTTTTCTCTAGCAATTTTTCAAGTAAAGGATTTACAGAATTTTTATTTAAAGGTTCCGCCGATTTTACTGAAAAGTCGATCTAAAATATTACTTTATTCATAGCTACTCAAACAAACGACACATCAGAGTCATGTATAATTTATTCAAGACAAATTACAACTCTAATATAACGCAATTACAGTTTATTGTTTCATTTAAGGAACTTTTTTAAGAACTTGAATAAATACAAGACCATAAACCTGGAACTTTATTATAAAAAAGATCCTTAGAACCTTTATTTTAAAAACTTTTTCCCTAAAACATTTCACATAAACTTTAAAATGGGACTTTTAGTCCGTGGTTCAGACCCCATATTATCAAATTATTAACATCCACCTGGAATTCCGTAAATAATATTATCTCATCATAACCAACAAATATTTTATTTACGAAAATTCTCTGAATTGGAGCGTTTTTAATCTGGAGAATGGCAAACTTTGTATATTTAATTAGGTACTAAAGACTCGTAAATATCCATTTACTTTCCACCTGAATCGTAAGATGATTTCGAGAAAAAAGGTGGCCTTAAAAAATATTGAACCGTTTGGTGTGACCTAAACTCCCAATTTGTCAAAAGTAATGATGTTATATCGAACAAGCGGTCCAATATTTTTGTATTCCACCCTTTTACCGATTTTATGATCAAATTATCTTACGATCCAAGTGGAAGGCAAATGAGTATTTATGAATTTTTATCACCTAATTAAGTAGATAAAGTTTGCTCCCTTCCAGATTGAAAACGCCCCAATTCCAAGAGTTGTCGTAAATAAAATAGTTGTACGTTACGATGAGATGAATCTATTTACGAAGTTTCAGGCGGATGTTAATAATTTTATAAAAAGGGGTCTGTACCACGTACTATTTTTTCTTAAAAAGTTTCACAAAAACTGTTAATTTTTTTTTTTATAAGTTCTATAAAAGTTTTAACCCCTGGTTTTAAGAATTCAAACTTGGAATTTTTACAATCAGAAACATTTTTCTGTCTTACATTAATATATAAAGGGCCATAGGAATAAAGGAAAAAAACATACATTCTCTCTAACTTTTTTTATTTTAACGAATCCAAAATGAAAAGCTGCAACCATTCTGGTGTGGCAATGTACTCAAATTAGATTTATTAACTATATCTTATGTATTTTCACATTTTAATTTCTGAGCAACATAGTATGCTAACTATTTTATATAAGATACATAGGATTATTCCTTATTTTAGTTATGAATACATTTACAGAAATAACACCATTAAAAATAAATGAGACACTGAATTTTTTCGTGGTCTTTAAGTACATTTTATTATTATAATTTATATATATATATATATATATATATATATATATATATATATATATATATATATATATATATATATATATATATATATATATATATATTATAGCTTTATCGTTAAGGGAAGCTTTGTATTCGTGCGAGATTTTTTAAAAAATATGCTCTGAATTTAAAATTTCCACTAGCTTATTACGTTTCAGACATCAAGGAACAAATTTTATTGCGTGTCTGTCTGTAATCAAATCCATGTGAATACATATCATTTACTGCTAATCTAATTTTTATGATCCTCCGAGGCGTCTGAAAAGAAGATGGCCTCGTGATCTCCTTATATAGACATGTTATTAGAGTGCTACCAGTGGAAAGTTTCTCAACAAGCGTTTTTCAGTGATTATATTCTTGTGTACACATTTACTTATGTATTTATACTGTAGTATAGTTGTAAATATCTTGAATAAATAGTTTTTTAAAAAAAATTATGAAATTTTCAGATTGTACGAGTTGATGCCTAGATGTACGCGTAAATTTTCTTTTTCTTCAAAAGATTTTAGAATTTTTAAATTGAAGATTATTTATAGGTCATTTTAAAATAATGAGAAATATATTCAGTGTCGTACACAATTTCATTTTATGAAGATTGTCAAATATAACCAATTTTCATTTGGATTTATTTAAAAAATAAAATGAATTATATTTAATATATTGAAATATTCTCCATTCGGGATGGCTATAGATTTTTTTTTTTAATTTGTTGAAGGATTGTTATTTTTATTTTATATTTATTATTCGATAGGATAATTTATTTTGAATATTTTCTTTGGAAGTTTATATTTAAAAATAAAATTTTATATAGCTCATTATATACTATATAATGCATTATATTATATATGCATTATTATTTAATTGCATGATATGTAATTAACTCTATTATCTTTTTTATCAGAATAGAATAAATATAACTGTTATAAAAACTCTAATAATCAAAATTAATTAGTACTATTCGATTTATATAATCAATGGTCTCCTTAAGTAATGTTTTTTAAAGAAATATTAACCTCTAATAATAAATTGTATCTATTTATTTATATCAATTTATATCTATCTATTTATTTATTTATCTATTTTTGGACTTAAATTTCCGTCACATTATGGTCACCCATCATTGAAATCACCCACTATTGTTTGATGCATTGTGTCTTTTCGAAAAAATGTTCATAATTTTCATAAAATAATTTATTCTCCTAAATGGTTTTTCGTGATCTAGTGATGATCTTTCCAGCAGGTATGGAACCAGACCCCTCATGTCTACCTCTCCACCTAGTAAAAAATTCAAGTTGGAATGTCGTCTTGGTGTGGCCTAATCATTCTTCACAACTTCATATCGACAACTTGATTGAATTTCTCATAGTTACTGTCAATGTGGCAAAGATTTTTAAAAAATGAAACATTTAGAAGCATGTAAAATTTTACTTAAGAAAAATTAGTTTAAGGACTTAAAGAACTAAAGTAAAACAAAACAAAAGTTGGTTAGTGCCACCATTATTTGTATTAATTTAATACATTTAAATTTTAGGAAAACATCACCTAATTCGTTTAAAATTATGTGAACACTATTATAAATGTCCTTAATTGTGATAGATCGTAATATCTCTCAATATATATATTATAAAATAAAAAAAGTAAATTAAGTATTTTTCCTCATTCCTTTCGATTGGTCAAAACTTCTTTGGTTACCACTTCATAAGTAGCTCAGTTGACGCTTAAAGTTTAATCAGACTTTAAAAAGTAATTTTAAGATCGGTTATTAGTCTAAATTTAGTAGTTATCTTTCCACCTCCCGGGCAAACCCAGCCTCTGTACAGTTAGTAGTGGTTACTTAACCTTTTATACTGAAGTGTCTCGATACTGTTGATCGATGAAGTTGATCAGTTTGAGTTGAACCTGGATTTGTAGGTTTCTAAAAACCAAAATTGGCTTTTTTTCAACAATTTAAAATGGGAGATTTCCACTTTGTACTAGGGCATTCAATTATATACTTTCGTTTTATATATTTTTATGATTTTCATGATGTCTTGCTATTTTTTGTGATAACCATGACCGCCACTCAGAACATTTTGATTATTGCAGTCAAATACAAACTTTTCAGAAGGGGCCAAATAAAATCTTAAATATAAATTTTCATCTCATAAGTTATGTTTTTTTCATTTTTTAGTAGTGCTACGTATGGGAGATATTCTATGAAATGGAAAAAAATAACAACATTCCTATATCCTCTACATCAACACTTTTAGAATTTAAGCGTTTTTATCCATTATTATTTATATTCATTTATTATTTTTAGTAGTAAAGTTGGTCATAAGGTGCACAAAGAAAAAACTCAGTTGGTGTAAACCTATTTTTAATGTGTTCCAAAGTTTCAGCCTTTTTTTTCAAAGTCCAGTACTGAGGAACAATTCATTTATTTATAATATGTTTCGTTATTTGTTTCCTATTTTCTGTAAATTATCGGAAAAATTTGAGCTAGATACTTTTATATATCTTAATAAATGTATATATTTGAACTCGTAAGTTAGCTTACAGATTTGTTATTAACTTTGTTCATAGATCTCTAGGTATTGCACTATTTTTTTTTTCTGTTCCACCGTTTTATTTTTCAACAATTACACATATAAGTACGCACATACATATATATCTTTGTCAAGCTTTGTCCTTGCACTGCCCTATGGCATTTTAAGAAAAGGGGAAGCACTTTTGTACTATGACGGCCCAGTGGTTTAAGTATTAGATTCTAGATGAACTAAATATACATTAAATGTTGTTGTGTTTAGTTCTCAATGAAGAAATAAGTAGTTTATTAGTGAAAGTATGCATTTGTAAGATATATTATTTTATAATTAAAGAATGTAATACCTTTTCGGTATTTATATTAACAAAGAGCGTGAGGGCTGTTGCTAAGGTTGTTGGGTTAGGTCTGGTACGAGCTCCGCTTGGCTTCCTCAGGATGAGTAACTATTTGAATAAGTAATTAGCAGGGAGGAGCGAACAGGACTAACAGCTCATGATATTTTATTCATTAACTTCTAATAATTGAATAAATACAATTTTTTAATTTCATGTTTTATTATGGGACTATTTTAAAATTGTTTGAAAATCAGTCCTTTTTTGCTGGATCTAAGAGGAAATAAGTACAGAATTACACTGGTTCCAGTAAGGAACAAGGAACAAAACTTAGTAAGCTCATCTTGTCTTTAGTTACTATGAAATGTTCAATTTTATTACTTAAGTCAGTTATTCTGTTTCTATTAAATAAATAAAGCCTTTATCCACAAAAATATAGAATGATACTTTTCATAGTCTTAAAATAATTAACAAAGAGTTTATGTGAACTGACAAACCAAACTCAAAATAACAAACCTCAAAAAAAATTTGTTAATTTCTGAACTAAGCCCAATATTGAGCAAAGCTCTCCCCCATTTTTTTTTCCAATATTCTCTTGAATTCGATTTTCTCACCCAGCCTGTACTGCAGCCTATCTTTTTTATATTGTCTCTCTGTTTCATCAGTTATCTTCTTCTTCATCTTATTGAATGTAGTACCCACCATTTCGTCCATCTTTTATCAGCCAACCGAGCCTTATATTCTCAGTTTTCATTCTATCGATGTTTCTATTAATTGGTTGTTAAATAAAATCATCTGCCTATTGTTTCGTAAGATTAACCTATATTGTAAACTTTATAAAACATTGAGGGATTGGATTGTTCTTGGTCGCGGTCTTTGGTTTGGAGAGGCACCTGTAATAATAGGTGATATAATTTATATCATATTATTAATAACATTTAATGCAGAAAATATTGACTCTTGAACCTTGATCGTGGAGTGCCTTACACTCTAGCCTGTTATCTAATACTTGAGTTGTATTAAATTTCGGATTTGTGAATACCCTTCCTTAATAGGAATAGCTGATATCGTGTTAGCTTGCCATACCCTCCTCAGATCGACCTCCCAGTAAGTTCCGATCCTCCCGACATTGAGAGGAGGAGAGTAATATGGGTTGGAGAGACGACTCGCTAGGAGAGGTTATGATCAAGGCTAGCCGTGGAAGGGAGGCTGGGATTAAAATAGCCTTCGCCTTGGCTGCAGAGCTCTTTGTCGAGCGGCCTTGAGACGGCTGGGAGGGGGGGGCGGGTTCAAGGGGGGCTAACGACTCGCAGGGCTGCCACTCTTACCGAGTCAATGTGTCAGTGTGCCTAGCCTCTCTAGTTTTTATTTCTACCCCCACCTTTTGTCATTGTTTTTCTTTATTATTTTTTCTTTTCCTTTTTTTTCGTTCCATTTTATTTTATTTTCCTCCCGCTTCGCACCTCTTTCACCTTGTTGTTTATTTAGAGACCGTTTGCGGCTGTTAAACCGTCCGCGCTATTTGTTTCTGTTTTTATTTATTTTTGTTTCGTTGTTCTTTCCTTCTTTTTTTTTCATTTACTCTTTCTCTCTAGTATTTACTCATCATATAACTTTCCTCGATTCATTTATATTTCTCTTCTTTTTTTTTTTTGTGGTTGTGAATTAACGGGTTTCGGTTTGTCATTCTCTTTTTCTTCTGTGATCATTTACATCTCACATTGTTACACTGACTTAGTATTCATTTATTTTTTATCCGTAGTCTGAATCACACACCCATTTTTAACAAATTATTAACATTCGTCTAAAAGTTCTTGAAACTTATCGTACTTTTTTCTTATCGTAGCATACGACTTTTTAATTTACGAATGTCGTAAACCAATGACTTCCTGTCCTTCAGTATCCTTTAACAACACCTCACTTATTCCAGTTGAACAAATCCGTTACCTAGGACTCCATCTGGACAAACGTCTAACTTGGAATCCTCATACCAGACTGAAACGACAAGAAACAGCTCGACGTTTCCGACCACTTCAACACTTACTAGACAAACGCTCTAACCTTCCAATCAATTATAAAAGACTGATTTACATGACTATAATAAGGCCTATTTGGACTTACGGAGTTGAGCTATGGGGCTCCACCAAACCTTCAAATTCCTCTCGCATACAATCCTTACAATCCAAAATCCTTCGTAAAATCCTCAATGCTCCTTACTTTGATACAAATAAAATTATCCATAATGAACTTAATGTTCCTTATGTATCAGATTTGGCCCGATCCAGATATCTGTCCTTCCATAATAAACTTCATAACCATCCCAACCCTCTTGTCTCTAACCTTGCTTCCTATTCGATTCCTGATCACCCTCCGAGGCGTCTGAAAAGAAGATGGCCACGTGATCTTCTAATATAGACATATTATTAGAGTGCTACCAGTGGGTAGTTTCTCAACATGTGTTCCATGTCTTTATACCAATGTGCGAATTTACCAGATGTATTTTTTGTATACAGTTGTAAATATCATATAAATAAATAATAAAAAAAAAAAATTACGAATATTCTCGGAAATGGAGCGTTTTCAATCTCGAGATCAGTAATCTGTGTCTATTCAATGTGGTACTAAAAACTCATGAAAACCAATTTGCTTTCCACTTGAATCGGAAGATAATTTGATCACAAAATCGAGAATAAATGTAGCCTACAAAAATATTGGTTCGCTTGGCGTGTATACATCATATCAAAGTAACGAGGTTTTATATGCCAAACGGCCTAATATTTTTGTAGGCCACCTTTTTTTCTAAATTTTATGATCTTATGAAATTATCCTAAGATTCAAGTGGAAAGCAAGTAGATGTTCAGGAGTTTTTAGTAAAGTTTTCGTAAATAATTTAATAAAAAGGAGTTTGTACAGCGGACTAGTACTTAATAGGCGAACTTAATATGTTTTATTAGTCAACCCAAATGTTTGACTATACTATAACTGTACGAGTATGTATCTGATTTATTATAAACTATGGGTGGCCAACTACTTAAAAACAAGAATTATTTAGAATTAATAAATTCATTTTTGTAATTTATTTATATATCAAATATTTTGTACGGGGTTGGGAATACCAGGTAAGAATAATATTTATATATAAATGTGTAAATATGCAAATTCATAGAATATTATTTTTAATATCAATTCTTTTCATAAATATTTTCTAATTTTCAATCTTTCTTCTAATTATACACAAAACTTAATATATTATATTTGATTCCATTGAAAAAATGTATGATAATTTTATCATCTTAGTTGTCATTAAGTTGTTTTCGTCCCTAACCTCATACAGAACCGTACAGAACAAAAAAATATATTCTACCTCCAAAGTTGGTATTTTACGGCATTGGTCATGCTACTGTGCAATTTTAAGGCAGTAAAACTCTTTTAAAAAAAAAAAAATTAATTGCGACTGATTGACCAATTCAATAAAGCTCATCAAATTCATTACTTTTATATATTTTTTTGTTATTTAGTAGACTATAAAGATTTATTATTTCGTATTACAAGTTATTT